AACTAATAGCCATTACAAGTCTACAGCATTTTTCTTCAGTCAACTTACATAACTTGATGGGAGTATTCCCGAGAAGACCAGAAAGAGAACTTCGATTGTGATTAAGGTACGAATTTTTGTCAGTTATAAGCACATAGCTATCATGCAATGGGAAATTACTTGTATTGAAGTTACTACAAGCCATTCATATACTATGTACCAACAGTTGATTAAGATTTATATTTAACATCTACGCGTGCCTTCTCTCCCTCAATATAGGTATGCATTTCCTATTTGGTGCACGTAAGTAATTCTTGGTAATGATAAGGAAACAATTTTGAAATTCTGACGGAATATTGCCCTCTGAAGAAAACCAAGCCAAAGGTAATCATGTTAACATTAAATGATAAATTTGAATGGTCACTCCAGATTTTGGAACTTTCTGCATTTATTATGTTCTGATCTACAGGGGGTACTGCACTGGGTAGTAGAATCTGCTCTCGGGATTGATCCACTAAAGATAGAAGTCAGATTGTTTGACAAACTCTTCATTTTCGAGGTTCAATATATTTCTTTTGATACATTTTCTTTCAGTCTTAGCACACACTCCTTTTTTGCATTGAATATGTGGTTGACACTTGCTGGTTTCTTGTTGCATACAGAACCCTGCCGAACTTGATGACTGGCTTGCTGATTTGAATCCTGAATCTAAATTAGTCATATCTGAGGCGTATGTTGTACCTTCGCTTAGAGATGCTACGGTTGGAGACAGATTTCAGTTTGAAATGCTTGGTGCATTCCTCTAACTTTCAGCTCTTTTAGCAGTTGAAGATGTGTATTTTCTTCTGTAATGTGCCTATTGAATTTATTTTGTACGTTATGCAGTTTTAATAGGAGAGGAGCTACCATGACTAATCTTGATTCAACTAGAGTTCCAAGTCCAACCAGGCTTGAGGTTCTTGAAATTTACTTCTCTTGTAGTGCTTCCAAATTCTTTCTCGACTCCATTATAATCGGTTATTCTATTAGCTTGTTTGATAAGATGAACTGAATTAGACTGGAACGTGTACATGTAGTATAAGTTTATCTTAACTTTTATTTTTATTTCAGGCATACAAGAGGAAGCAGCCGAGGCTTACGACATTGTAGCCATTAAATTTCGCGGACTAAATGCTGTGACTAATTTTGAAATAAGCAGATTTGATGTAAAAAGCATACGGGAGAGCAGCACATTGCCAATTGGAGGTTGACAACCGATTCATACTCGAGCTACTAGCTTGATCGTTATGCAGACGAAAGTGATTCATTTCAAAATGTGAATGAGGAATATATTACATCTACTTTTTTACATATGTTGTCTCAAGTGATGATGATGATGATGATTCCAGAAATAGCATGATGATAAAGGGCAAAGTGATGACTACCATGAAGTAATTGAGGAGAGTGATTCATCTGAAGTTGAAGTTGGTGGCATATTACTAGTTTTTACTTATAGAGTCCGGGTTTAAACACAGGTTGAAGTGGCCACATTTGGGGATGATATTTTATCTCTACTTCTTCTAGCAATCTAGT